GTAACGCAACATATTTAATTATACATACATCTTCGACACTTATTACAAATAAATAACTTAGTAAACAATACTTAAGAATATTTCAATTTAAAACTGTAATTACAATTTAATATCACAAAAATTAATATACCTAATTATAATCTAAATGGCAATAAAATGAATTATAAAGGAATTTGAGTTGAATTGTACTGTTACTGTTTGTTCTTTTAGAAAGATCTGAAGATGTACCAATAAATCCTGTTGTAATGCATATTGATATGGATTGCTTTTTTGTATCAGTAGGCCTCAGAAATAGACCAGACTTAAAAGGAAAGCCAGTTGCTGTAACTCATGCAAAAGGTTCACACAACGTTAGTAGAGATGAGGTGACTGATTTAAAATTATAGATTATCAATTACTTATAATTTCATGAGAATGTTTTTATATTTTTGTAGTCAAGTTTTGAAACTGAAAAAGCGTTATTAAGAAAACATTGGCCTAGTGAAAAAAATATTTTGAATAAGTTGGATAGTCACTCATCAATGTCCGAAATTGCTAGTTGCAGTTATGAAGCTAGAAAATATGGTATTAAGAATGGGATGTTTTTAGGAAATGCACTCAAAATGTGCCCTAATCTTCAAACAATTCCCTACGATTTTCAGGTATCCTTTTAATAAGCACTTCAGGCTCTAAAATTTGCTTTTCAGTTTTTATTTAAACTTTCTGTTTTGTTAAGGGTTATCGTGAGGTGTCATCAATCTTGTACAATACAATTGCCCAGTACACTTTGGACATTGAAGCTGTAAGTTGTGATGAAATGTACGTCGATGTGGGACCAATTTTAAACGAAACAGGCATATCTGTAGAGCAATGGGCTACACATATAAGATTGGAAATAGTAAATGCCACAGGATGTCCCTGTTCCACAGGTTTCGGCAGTAATCGTCTTCAGGTAATCTATACATATAAGGAAAAAAACCGACTGATCAAAGCAATTATTTTGGATAAGAATTCTAAGTGTTCTAAGATGCGCAAAAATTTGCTTCATTAAATTTTTAGGCCAGATTAGCAACTCGTAAGGCCAAACCTGCTGGCCAGTTTTATTTGCGTCCTGAAAATGTCGAAGAATTTTTGGCTAATGTATCTTTAGCTGATCTACCAGGTGTAGGTTTTGCTACAATTGGCAAACTTCGAAATCTGGGATTGATTACATGTGCTGACGTGCAGGTATTAATATCACTTAACAAAAAAATTAAATAATTTTCAATGTTTTTTCATTTAGATGACCAGCCTCCAGTATCTCCAAACAGAGTTGGGTACGAAAATGGGCGAACAGATTTATGACCAAGCTAGAGGCATCGACACGAAGCCTCTAAGCTTTTATCACGAGAGAAAATCCGTATCTGCAGATGTCAATTACGGTATTAGATTCAAGACTCACGAGGAAATCCTAGACTTCCTTAAAAGATTGTCTGAAGAAGTGTTCAATAGATTAATCGAAACTGGTATGAAAGCCGCCAGATGTCTTACTTTAAAGATCTTAATTAGGGCTCCGGATGCTCCTCAGGTACGCTATTTGCTCACAAAAATATCTTTTAAATTATGTAAAAATAATTTTTAATTAAATTCAAGGAAACTGCTAAATTCCTGGGTTGTGGAGTTTGCACTAGTATTAATAAGAGTACAACCAGAGGAAATTTGATAAATGATGCTAGTGTAGTATTTAAAGAGGTCAAACACCTTTTGGACCAAATTAAAGCCCCTCCTGAAGACTTTAGGGGCATAGGAATTCAACTTACGCGACTCGAGAAACTATCAGCAAGCAACAAATTACTTAATAATTTTCTAAAACAATCTACAGAAATTGCAAAAGGTGATAAGAACACAAAAGAAATTGTTTCTAGAAATGATACTTCAAATGATACTGTTAAAGAAACGTGTTATAAAAATAGAGAAGAAAGAGTGAAAAAAGATAATATACCTTCACCTGAAGAAAAAAATAAAGGTTCCGTTATTTGTTAATTAATATATAATAATCAATTAAGATTATGTTGACTAAAGAAATTTCAGATGAAAAAGTTTGTCCTGTATTTAAGGAAGTTGCAATTCAGTGTAGTGGAAATCCATTTGATGATGATATCCCTCAAGTAAAAATAATTTCAACTGGTAAACCAACCTCTCTAAATAATTCTAAGAAATGTAAACCTAGAGGAAAACTGGCCAAGAACAAGCAGAATAATATTTCCAATAACACTGTGAGAACTTTGAAAAATTATTTTAATGAAACTCGAGCCAATAAAGCTGTCTATCAAAAAAGCTCAGCAAAATCGGTATTTGTGTGTTACTTTTGCATTAAAAATCTGTATGATTTCTATAAGATTTTGTAGGGCAAAGAAATATTGAAAAATATCGATGTTGAAGTGCTAAAAGAATTACCTGAAGATATTAGAAATGAAATTTTAAATGAGTACAAAATATCAATGGAAGAATTTCAACAAAAAGTAAATATTATTGTTTCAAAAGCCAACAACACTGACATATCTAATACTGTAATAACAGATGATAAAGTTAAACCCAGTACTTCTAGCACTACAAAAAAAGGTAGCCAGTTAATCATTATTTATTAGTTGTATTATAGTTCTTATTTTTTTTTGTTTTTGTCCATTTTTTGCAACTCTAAATTTTACTTTTTTCTTTTTCAATTACCTTATTTTAAAAGAAGAAAATGTTCAGTCTTCCATTACAAAGAAAAAACTATCATTTGCTGACTTGGAGTGGGACGAATTAAAAAATTTAATAGAGTCTTGGATCCATTCTGAAACAAAACCGTTAAATTGTGATATCACTAGACTCGGAGAATACTTGAAAGATCTTGCAATAAATAGAAAAATTGAAACCTTACATGTTTTGGTAAAGTTCTTGCACAGGTTGGTATTAAAAAATAATTAACTCATAANAAAAATATCTTTTAAATTATATAAAAATAATTTTTAATTAAATTCAAGGAAACTGCTAAATTCCTGGGTTGTGGAGTTTGCACTAGTATTAATAAGAGTACAACCAGAGGAAATTTGATAAATGATGCTAGTGTAGTATTTAAAGAGGTCAAACACCTTTTGGACCAAATTAAAGCCCCTCCTGAAGACTTTAGGGGCATAGGAATTCAACTTACGCGACTCGAGAAACTATCAGCAAGCAACAAATTACTTAATAATTTTCTAAAACAATCTACAGAAATTGCAAAAGGTGATAAGAACACAAAAGAAATTGTTTCTAGAAATGATACTTCAAATGATACTGTTAAAGAAACGTGTTATAAAAATAGAGAAGAAAGAGTGAAAAAAGATAATATACCTTCACCTGAAGAAAAAAATAAAGGTTCCGTTATTTGTTAATTAATATATAATAATCAATTAAGATTATGTTGACTAAAGAAATTTCAGATGAAAAAGTTTGTCCTGTATTTAAGGAAGTTGCAATTCAGTGTAGTGGAAATCCATTTGATGATGATATCCCTCAAGTAAAAATAATTTCAACTGGTAAACCAAGCTCTCTAAATAATTCTAAGAAATGTAAACCTAGAGGAAAACTGGCCAAGAACAAGCAGAATAATATTTCCAATAACACTGTGAGAACTTTGAAAAATTATTTTAATGAAACTCGAGCCAATAAAGCTGTCTATCAAAAAAGCTCGCCAAAAACGGTATTTGTGTGTTACTTTTGCATTAAAAATCTGTATGATTTCTATAAGATTTTGTAGGGCAAAGAAATATTGAAAAATATCGATGTTGAAGTGCTAAAAGAATTACCTGAAGATATTAGAAATGAAATTTTAAATGAGTACAAAATATCAATGGAAGAATTTCAACAAAAAGTAAATATTATTGTTTCAAAAGCCAACAACACTGACATATCTAATACTGTAATAACAGATGATAAAGTTAAACCCAGTACTTCTAGCACTACAAACAAAGGTAGCCAGTTAATCATTATTTATTAGTTGTATTATAGTTCTTATTTTTTTTTGTTTTTGTCTATTGTTTTGCAAC